ATTAAGGTAATCTTTACCGTGCTACTTTATCTGTATTTGATTTTGAATGAGCAGAAATCTGTGAGAAATATAACGACCCAAAGACAAAATAACTGATAAAAAAGCTGTTATAGGAGCAACAGCCATGTGGGCAGCGCTGTGTCATATGCCATATCTGTGCACAAGCTGTTTATCACAGCTCCAGACTTATTTGTTCATTAATGACGTCATCAGCGACTAGTCGACTTCGACTCGACTTTCATCACATAAAAGTCGACTTCAAAAAATCAGAAGTCGTTCAACCCCTAGTACACACACATATATTATGTAAACAAAAACTTTTATTTTGGATGCGATTAATCGTTTGACAGCACTACTTTATACAGAATCATTATGAGCTTGACTCACTTTCCCAGAGAGTCATCAATGTCCCCTCGATTGGGTTCCAGCCCTCTCACCCTTCCTCTACAGCTGAGGGGCATCAACTCATCTGCTGGGTAGGCATAGTCCTAAAAGAGAACAGAAGGAGAAACAATGCATCTCAAATAGTCTTAATAACAGATGCATTCATTTTCACAATTTCACACTTTAGAATTATTTTGGTACAACAATTACTTTGAATGCCAGTCATTTAGGTCCAATAAATACAAATGATTCAGAAAACCAATGTTCTTGTTAGTGAACACTAATTCAAAATTATTCCTGAATTATAAACAGTAAATTTGGGGTATTTACTCACCATGTAACTGTTATAGGCATGATCAAACATCTCTAGAATTTGGTCCCTAAAAAATATAAAATAAATAAGAGTGTGCAGCAGTTACTCTTTCATATCGCACTAGAAAAAAGCCATGGAAATGTCCATGTAAACTCAATACAACTGCGATAGTAACTGTTGCAGAAGTCACCAACTTTAACAAGTCACCAATTAGGCTACCTTTTATTGTATAACTTCTACATCCACATTAGAACAAAAATACATAATCTCACTGCTGTAGGCAGTATGTGTATATATGGATGTATGTGTGCATAAACAGTTTAATTTTCATTTTGGGGTCAGGAAGGTTTTTTTTTTTTTTTAAATACACAATTTGACATTTAGATTTTTACAAAAGACTTCTATTTAAAAAAAAAAAAATGTAAATGCTTCTTTCAACTTTCTATTCATAAAAGAATTCTGAAAAAAATGTATCAGTTTCCACAAAAATATTAAGCAGCGCAACTGTTTTCAACATTGATAATAATAATGTTTCTTAAGCACCAAATCAGCATATTAGAACTTTTTCTGAAGGACCATGTGGCACTGCAGAGTAAAGTAGTAATGGCTGCTTTGCCATTACAGAAATGAACAGAAATTTCACAATATCACTGTTTTACTGTATTTTGTGAGCAAATAAATGCAGCCTTAAAGAGACTTCTTTAAAAAAATAAAATAAAAAAATTGGTGTACTAACATAATTAATATCTCTTGTTCAAAACATTTCAAAATATGTAAGTTTAAATATACCAAATTCTCTTCAACAACCAGACTAAATATTTAATATGCTAATTGAAGCTCAAAATGTCCACCCTGCCGGCCACTTAGACTCGATAGAGTGGACAAACACATGACAGGGTGGACATAGCATTCATTTGTAGTTAATATTGCTAAAAACTAAAATTAACACATATCAATGTGATTGAGGATGCAATTTTATTATTTATTATTATTTTTTTTTTTTTTTTTCGAAGTTGAATAAATGTTTCATTGTCATATTTTGTCATGCTTTGTGTGTTCTGCTTTATGTGTCCACCCCGTCATGTGCTGGTCCACCCTGTCATCTTGATATTTTACTATAATATTTTAAATAATAATTCAATCATATCTATATAATCCAGTGTGTTCAATAGCTAGGTGTGGGGGCAATAACATGCAAACAAAAAACTGCATCCAAATATCACAGTTTTCTCCAAATAAGAAAAAATACATTTGCGAATTGCATGAGTTTCTTTAAAAACACATGGTTTACATAAAATTTTGTTATTTATTTATCAATTATAATGTATTTATAATTTGAAGGCAAACAAATAACCCTGTTTAGGAAAGGGACATCATACCTTTCATAAAATATAATTTGCATCTTAATTTGTAAGTCGCTTTGGATAAAAGCGTCTGCTAAATGACTAAATGTAAATGTAATTTTGCAATGAAAATGTATTTAACAGTAATATATATGTCCATGACAGGGTGGACATATCTTATGGTTTATGCTTCGAATAATGGCCCATAATTATCTAAAAAAAAATGTGTGGGAGCTCAGCTAGTATGTTTCTATAGTACTTGAGTGTCTACTATTTATGACATGACATAAAGTGAATGGGAAATTAAAACCAAAATTGAGTATTGTGAGGGTTGAAAGGTACCCTATGGTGATATTGACCCAGATAATGCTATTATATGTATATTGGGGTTAAGATTTGTAAAATGTTTCTGTAGTCTCTTATGCTCACTATTTGTTTGATTAAAAAAATGAATTAAAATAGTAATATTGTGAAATAAAATAATTACAATTTAAAAAAATGTTTGTTCAGAATTTTTTGAATATAAAATGTATGAAAGAACAGTATTTATTTGAAACAGAAATATTTTGTAACATTATAAATAACTGATTTATTTAAAAATGTATCACCTAAATGTATTTTAGAATTTTTGTCTAGTATACATCTGAAACTTCTTTTATAACCTTTTGTTAATTGTATAACTTGTATAATTTATTCAGAGATCGCCATGAAAATAGCCTTGATGCTGGCATGGCGTTAAAAAGTGAATAAATAAATAACATTATAAATGTTACTTTTCTGTCAAACTATAACATTCTGTAATGCATCTTTGCTGAAAAAAATATTAATTTAAATTTTTAAAAATTAAAATTATTTAACTATTTAATGCTATAACAATCAGATTAAATAAATAATTGGCTGAACATTATTTACTCGCCATTATTTACTACATTTTTAACAACTGATTTTAGCTATATAAACCTGAAGGGCTTACATTGAAATATTTTCACATTTTGATCTTCAGACCCTAGAGTTAAAAAACATTTTATACTTTTAATTTTAAAAGTTAGATTAGCAATTTGAAGTGTGAAAAGCCTACGTTTTGATTTCTCTCTCTACAGGGATGGTGTTGTCGGTCTTTGTCGTTCTACTGCTCACCGTGATCTACGAGCTTCTGAAAGTGTGGAAGGTCACTATTGGAAAACAGAAGCGATCCTCCATTACGCATTCATCCGCTCCGGTGTCTTTCTCACCTGAAGCGTCCTGTTTCGCCCCTGTCATGAAGTGTCAAGAGGGAAGCTCTTCTCTGACCAACAGCCCCTCTGAGATCTCATTAGCTCCCACCGAGAATACGGCCACCACTGCTGACACCACCGCCGCTGCTAAGAAGAGGTAATGCTCACGAGATAACTGGGAAGTGTTTTCCAAGAACTGGTATGACGTCAAAATCGGTCAGTTGGAAAGATAACCAATGAGTTGATGATTATTTATACCTCATAGCTTAATGAATCTCTGCTCTCCAACAAGTGTCTCTTTCCGTCTTCAGCTGGCTTCTGCACTGCCTCCAGACCTCCATACACATCCTGCAGGTGACGCTGGGCTACATGCTCATGCTCTGCGTCATGTCCTACAACGTGTGGATCTTCTTGGGGGTCATCATGGGATCAGTCTTGGGATACTTTCTGGCTTTTCCTCTACTGAATCACATTTGAGAAGACATGAGAGAACAAAAACATGTGGCGGCATCTCGAAATGTTCATCTGAGTTGACTGCGGACTCTAGATCAAGAGCAAAATGCAAGGTTTGTGTGGCCACGATCAATAAGACGTGCAAGAGATGTTGCGATATGTAGACTGAACAGGGATGATTCCATTTTGAACATTTTTTAAGGTTGTACGTCAAAGATCTTGCATGAAATCTTAATTAACTAAAATGTGGCAATGACCAATTGTAAAATTGGTTAAAAACCAACTTTCAAAAGTATTTAGAATTTAAACCACATTGGAAACACTATCTTTCAAGTGTTAAACCATGTGATTTTACCTTTGAGGTTGTATGATGTGACCTCTTGTTCAAACAGTCAGCACTGTACTAAATGGAGATGTGCCTCATTGACCGGTTTTATACTTTCTACAACTACTGATGTAATTAATAAGCTAATTTTCTGTTACACAGATGAATGTTTAAATTCTCTTCTCTGAGATTTGCTTTACTGTAGCTGGTGGTTTTCTGTTATTTTGGGAAATCACACTAGTTTTAAACCTCATATTAAACTTCCTACATGAGTCAAGATCAGGCGTTTTTGTGTCATGCTGGAAATTACTGCTGAATAGCAGAACAAACAATGGTTTGAACCATTGGTCAAAAAGAGAAATGCAAATCATGTGGCCTTAGTTAATGTTCGCCAGCAATACAGACGCATGGAAAGTGACTGACTGACTGAGAGCAGAAATGAGAAACTACGATGCTCACCGCAATGATTCAAATGCACTATTAGTAATGTTCCTCCAGGCAATCTTTTAAAACTGTTTTACTCCATTGCTTAATTGTTTTAAAATGAAATTTGTTTTATTGGCAAATATATTAATGGTTTTGATTACAAGTCTACACCCTTGTCTACGGCCTTTGCATTTTAATAAGAAAAATACCAAGTTGCACCACATAAATTTGGAGTTTACATTTTAGCCAAAGGCTTTAACACACACACACACACATATATATATATATATATATATATCCTCCTGACTCCCAGCTATGGAGTTTTGTCCTCTGTAGATTTCACCATGACCACTCCCTCTCCTTGGTCTTTAAAAATGGCTGACATTAATTAAATGATCAAATTTAACACCGTTATGGAAATATAGTATTTTGTAATTTGACAAATTTTCAAATTGTTTGTCATAAATCAACATCTCAGAAAAATGTTATGGGGTTTTAAATCAAAATATGACCGTTACGAAACAGGACATTGATTTCATACATGTCCGCTGTAGAGGACACCAGGACTTAAAGCATGTTTATTACACATTTTGGGAGACACAACAAATGAATAGGGGGAAAAAAAATCAATATTTCTATGAAATATGAGATATTATGAAAATCTTGCCAATTATTACTCCCATTACTGCACCAATTTTAAAACACATTAAAATTCAAATTAGATACAGTTTATAGATACATTGTATATAATGGGGGAAACCCATTCATGGCCATTTTACACATTTTTCATAAAAATGGTTTTAAAAATATCTCATAGCATAGTTGAGAATCATCTTTATATTAAGTTTGTTATAAAAAAAATGTCAGTTTAAAAAAAAAAAAAAAACAGGACCTTTTAAAGTCCTGATGTCCTCTACAGAAGACATAGCATATCATATGAATGAAATATTTAAAAATAAAAAAATAATTTTCACATTTTTTTGTATGCTCCAAACAATGTAATGACATGAAAAAAATACTAAATTCACAAAACTTTTGTTTTCCTGGTAGTCAGGAATTTATATATATATATAAGAAAATATTTGCGGAATAGAGTGAAGATAATTTTTCATTTTGCTAAAATTTATAGACGTTTGTAAATGGTCAAAGGACAAAAGCATTTTCAGAGGCTGTTTGAATTAAATTTAGTATTAGTATATAGAAGCTTAATTTATACTACCCTTCAGAAGTTTAGGGTTGGTAGATAAAAAAAAAATTAAAAAAAAATTAAAAAAAAATAAAAAGTGATTTTGAAAGGATCCTAAGCCAACCAAGGCTACATTTATTTAATCTAAAATGCATGTCATTTGTAATAATGTAATGCATTTAATTCCTGTGATTCGCAGCATCTTTACTCCAGTCTTCAGTGTCACATGATCTTTTAGAAATCATTCTAATATGCTGATTTAGTGTTCGAGAAGCATTTCTGGTCGATGTTCAATATAGCTGTGCTCCTTAATACTATTGTGGAAACAATAATATAGATTTTTTTCATGATTATCTGATGAATCAAAGGTTCAAACAGAAAAGCATTTGAAATAGATTATTTTTTTGTAACAGTGCAAGTCTTAGATGTCATTATATCAATTTAATGTGTATTAATTTCTCATAAGAAAATGACTCCAAACTTTTGAATGCCAGTGTAACATCTTAAATTAATTTACACCGCATACACATTTTAAAATAATACTCATTTATTTATCCATTGCTGCCTTACAAAAGGAACAGAAGATGTAGAAAATAATCACAACACTTTTAAAATAAATAACCACACATTTTTTGAAATATGTGTGGAGCTAAAATGTTAGATAAATGAGCAGAAAACATTAAAACATAAATATGTCCAGTAATGAATTAACCGTTTAGTAATTCTAGAAGAAAAAATCCCACAGCTACATGCCAGAGCAAACCTTTGCCCTCCAGTCCTGTATGATGTCTCAGAATTCCTCACGTTCACACAACATGAGCTGAGCTCCCCAAAGTTTCCACAAAGCTATTAAACTAAAATCTGAACTGATTCTGAGGATTTTTCTACACCTACTTCAATCCTTTGCCATGAAGCTCTATCTGCAGCTCGGTACTGGGATTTCCATCTTCCTTAATCCACATAAACAGGTGGAGGATGAGAATCAGCACGTCTGAGCACTAAACGCACATTACAGAGTGTTAATGCATTCTATAGGAAATAGCTCACTTTAAAACCACAAAAGAAAGTCTACAAGCATTAAAAAGCAAGCTTTAATTGATCTGAATGCATTTGCAGTTATTGTTTAAGTGCTTAATTACGCTGCATTAATGCATGTACAATTAGTGTTTAAATATATTCCACAATTAACGGAAGGCAAAAAAGACTGTTTCAGATGGCCCCTATGAAATATCGCTCTACTTTTGAGATCCATTCTAATGCGCCAAGCCACCTCACTGTACATATGAGTACATTCAGGTGAAGTCCATATATTTGCATTAGTTGTAATACTAACCTCCTCGCTGATGTCAAAAGGTGAAAGCATGCTGGTTTACGCCACCCGCAACCAAACCGCAGTCTAACAAGTGAGCACAGGAACAGGAAATGGAACTGTCCAAGATAATGACAGTTAGTTTATGAAACCTCTGCCACATTATAATTAGTGTGGGAGTCATGAGTTACAAAAAATAAAAAGGCACAGAAGGTCATATAAATGTGTATATAGTCTATGAGAATATATACAAATTTCTCCACAAAATTAACTGGAAAAACAGAAAATAAAACTGTAATTAAAATTAAATTAAATTAACAACAAATTGGCTGAAATATCAACCATAAAGTGTTGCTGATGGAAAGCAAACAAAAGTGTGTCAGCAAACACTTTCAGTTTATAAAATGTTTCATATCTCACTTTCAACTTTCGATTTGAACTTCTGATTTCTTTTCTGAAGCATCACAAGGAGCTTTGGCGTCTAAATCAATGCTACTCTTCACTCCCTCCACCAGAGTTAACATCACTTGCTCGGTGTCCACCACCTCGTCTGTGATTGGCTGAGGCTCCACTTCTTCTACATTCTCATTGGCTGGAGACTGAAACCCACTGTCATCGTGATGAAGAGGGCTGGAGTTGGTAGAGGTTTGAGTGAATTCCCCATCAGAGTCGATGGCGCCGTCGCTCAGGTTCTCATTGGGGTCTTCCTGGATGGCGATCTCGATCTGTTGAATGGCGCTTTCAATGGCGGATACGCACTGCTCCTCTTCTAAAGACTGTTCGATCTGGGCGGTGTCCAATTCTTCATCAACCTTTTTTGGTGACTCCCTTGGCACAATCTCTGTTACCGTTGTGATGTGCTTCACCTCATCGCCTTCTTCCAAAAGCAACATCCCATTGGTCAACTGTGAGCCATCTTTTTCGACCACTTCCAGCACGGGGTTTATGAGGTCTCGGATCTCATTGAGGCTGTCAGGAGAGCCTGGTTCTTTCTCGATGGGTACGTGCTGTATTGGGTTCACAGGCTTTTCTGTTTCAAGATCTTGTTCTGTCTGCCCTTCGCTCTCCTCTGGGATGCCGTCCACTCCTGGTACTTCCTGGCAGGACTCGTATGGCAGAGGCATCCCGTCCAGGTGGATCATGGAGACGATCTGTTTGCGTTTCCTGTTGGCCACTTCGCCACCTTGCCTATCTCCTTTTACTCCTCCGAACTGGCCAGCCCAGTCGATGGTGTCCTCTCCCAGCAGGTGCAGGTTGGGGTCGCTGTTGGTCAGGACCATGCTGTCTCTGTACAGGTTGTGCCTTCGCTGGACCGCAGCTTCCTTCACAGCTGCAGAATGAAAAGGAATGATTGAAAACGCATTGCAACAATATTTTTAAGCAGTAAGGTATGGAGGCTGTGCTATATTGTGCTAAAGGGGCTGCAGTGCAAACACTCACCCATCATGATGTCCTTGCTGACTGACTGCAGGACCACTTCCTCAAAGATGTTCTCTACTAGTATGAATCTAGAGAAGTCCTCAAAGATGAGCTCCTTGAACTTGGGCAGATCCTAGATTTCAAAGACAAAAAGTTTTTTTCCCCCATATAACACCAAAACACACCATGTTTTCTAATTTTGTGTAAAATATGTATATTTATCATTTAAAATAAATGATAAATAATTAGACTATCTATAAATGAACTGTAAAAGATCAACAAATCAGCAAACTCGTATGGAATTAATTATCTGGTTACAAATAATAATAATAAACTATTATTATCAGCAACAAGATATAATAAATGTATAAATTATAATAATGAATGATCTGGTTACAAATAATAATAATAATAATGATAATGATGATGATAGTAGTAGTAGTATTTGTAACCAGATAATTTATTTTATATATAATCATCACTAATAATAACAATAATAATAATAATAAACTACAACTGTAATATTTTTATATTATCTGGTTACAAATACTACTACTATCATCAGCAGCACCATAATCATAATGATTATCAACAAGATAATAATTAGCAACAAGATAAATTAATACATTTGAATAATACATTATTATTATTAATAATAATAAATCATCCAATTACATATAATATATTAATAATATTATTATTAATAATAATAATAATAGTGGTGGTGGTAGTAGTACTATTTGTAACCAGATAATTTAGTATTTATATAATAATCTTATCACAAATAATAATAATAATAAATATAAACTACAACAACTATATTATCTGGTTACAAATACTACTACTATCATCAACAGCATCAATATTATTATTATTAGCAACAAGTCAATACATTTGAAAAATTCATAATGAATTACCCAGTTAAATATAATAATAATAATAATAATAAATATTTGTCACCAGTTTAATTTCTGGGTCATTTTCTCTCTTTTGGTGACATTTTTGACCTGAGCCCTCATTAATATCTGAGAAATATTAAGAGCGACACAGTAGGAAAAATGACCTGTTTTTCTTACAAGGGGATGTGTAGCATAAAATTCATTTAAAAAAATGACACGAACAATGGCACTTCTAAATGTCACAGAGAGAGGCTTATTCCTTGTACCAACCGGTGAACAGGATGGGGAGAGCTGTTTCAGCATGTACGGTATGATGATTTGAAGCAACGCCTCCCTGAAGAACTTCTTCCTCACTGTGCT